GTCCTCAGCCGTCATGTGTGGTGTGTGTTGAGGGCTCAAGTGACTAAGGAATGCGCCTGGCCTTCTGAGTCCACCTCGCATCTGTTTCCTGTCCCGTGGTTCCTCTGCATTACCTCCGTGAACAAGTACCCCAGGGTACGGCCACAGTCCCCGCTGCCCAGCTATGTGTCTACGTGGCCGTGATTGCACAGGCCAGGCCCCGCGCCGGCACCCCCAGCAGCCGCAGTGCCTGCACGTGAGGGATGCTCAGTAGCTGCCGTGCGTGCTGGTAACTGGAACCTCTTTTCCGCCAGCTGGAGCCGACATCAAGGAGATGCAGAACTGGACATTCCAGAACTGCTACACCAAGAATGCCCTGAGCCACTGGGACCTGATCACCAGGGTCAAGAAGCCAGTCATAGCTGCTGTCAACGGTTACGCCGTGAGTGTCCTCCCACCCGCCCTCAGAAGTCTTTACGGAGTCGTGCTTGTGCATGTGACGACGTATAACCGGCTTTTATTTGGAAAACCCAAGCCTAGTTCCCAGGCCAGCAGGCCTTTCCCCAAGTGATGCCAGAAAGCCAAGGCTGTAAGGAGAGGGGTCTGCTTTTGTCCACAGAGCCCAGTTCTCCCCGTGGCCCTGGGGCTCCCCAGAGTGTTGCTCCCCTCTCCTATGTCAAGGGCGCACTTGTTGGCTTTCTGTGCTGTTCTAATGACTTTCCGACCTGCGCTGCACCCATAAACTACTTCTCACTGCCATTGAGGGCTCCGTCCTCTGTTTGGGCCCCCGGGGTCTCCTGTGGGCATGTGGACTGCTCAGAGGTGCTGGGCTGGTAGCCTGTAGAGAGTGAAGAGCATTTCAGTCTGTGGTCGTTTAGTAAAGCTCCCTTGGGGTGAGCTGGGGCCAGCGAATAAAGTTTGTTGGAGCTGTTGATTCACTCACTGTCCTTAGCAGAGAGTGGCAGAGCTTGCTGTCAGGCCCTCTACAGAAGGAGCTGGGCAGCATCAACTATTCATGACCCACGGGGCGCTTAACTAACTTTTGCCCTGGACTGTGTTTCATTTTAAGAGAGAATTCAAAAAAGCCAAGAGAGTGATTTTCTGACTGGGTTTCCCTGGTGACACTTCATGTTGTTTTGCAGTTTGGTGGTGGCTGTGAACTTGCTATGATGTGTGACATCATTTATGCTGGCGAGAAAGCCCAGTTTGCACAGCCAGAAATCCTACTGGGAACCATCCCAGGTAAACAGGGGCACCATCTCGAGCATAAACTCTGCAGGTCACTTCGCAGAGCCTGCCCACATCTCAGGAGCTTATGGGCTCTTCCAGGAAAGGATAAAAGCTTGCTTGCACCCGGTGGGGGTGGGGGAGGGCCTTTCTGTGCCCAGTGCTCCCCTGCTGACAAGCACACTAAGTGTGAGTGGACACAACAGCACTCCAGAGTGGCGATGGGGCCACGGAGCCGTATCGGTTCCTTGGGCGATAGCCAGATCCTGGGTCAGATTCTGTTAGAAAGGGCTGACCACACAGTGGCTTAGGATCCTTATAGGTCAGAAGCTCGGGCAGGGAATATGGTAACCAAGGGCCAGTGCTGAGAGCTTGTGCCTGGAGGTGACACATGTCACATCTCCTGTTTCAGTGACCAGAGCCAGTCCCATGGCCTCGTCTAAGTTCAGAGCAGGAACTCAGACCCCCATGTGGAGGCCAACTGGAGCACTGGGCACACAGTGGCACCCCTGCCCCTGGGGTCCACCTGATAAGGGCCCTGGGCATATGTCTGCCCTATGTGTAGGGCCTGGGGCCCAGGGCATTTCCTCCAGCCGGGCTGGGCAAGACAGCATATCCGATTGGCTGAGGGCGAGGCGAGCCCCACATGAGCCCCGCTGAGCACTGGGCTCTTCCCATCCCAACACCCAAAGCGTCCCCTTCATTGAGGCAGTGCCTGAGTCTGCTGGACTGGTGTGTCCCTCAGGTGGTCCCCTTGACTCATCCTGGCACCCAGGGCTCAGTGGTGTGGATGACTGGGCAGGCCGCGCTCTCTCTAGCTTGGGGGAGGGGAGTGTTGTGGGGCCGGGCCCCCGCAGGGCGCTAGGAGAGAAGGGCACATCAGAACAGCCAGACCCTGAGGCGTCGGGCACAGCCTGATGCTGCGAGCTGTGTGCACTTGCCCAGAGTCTGACTCTGCACAAGAGGTCCTGATGCAGGGGACCGAGTGCCAGGCATGGGGCCCCCTCGCCCCCACCTGAGAGGTCCACCTTCAGCCCCAGAACTTGCCAGCAGCGTGTCTGTCATCTTGGCTTGAACAGGCCGCAGGCCAAGCTGTGACCAGCAGCCTTCTGCCCTTATAGGTGCCGGGGGCACCCAGAGGCTGACCCGTGCTGTTGGAAAGTCGCTGGCCATGGAGATGGTCCTCACTGGTGACCGGATCTCAGCCCAGGATGCCAAGCAAGCAGGTTCAAGCCGGGTCGCCCCATGGAGCCCCTTGTGGGGAGTGGGGAGGGGAGGGCTGTGTCCAGGTGTTTCTTGGGTGGTCAGGACAGTGCTGTCAGGTGTCCTGAGAACCCAGGGGACTGCTGCCTGTTTCATTTGGCGTGCCGTATGTACAAAAGAGTAGCGGAAACATACGCACAGGTTAAGGAAGAATATTAAACCACCCCGCTTCCCAAAGCTCAGCGTAAGCAATGGGGGCTCTCTGAGACCTTCTGCACACACCCGCTCTCCCCACCCTTGGGGATCTGCGTCTGCATGAGTGTAGAGACCACGGCAGACAGCAGTGTGGCAGCTTCCCGTGCTGCTGCAGCCCCTGCTCACTCCCTGAAAGGCCTCTGCTGTTGAAGTGTCGTTGTCACTCACAGGGGTCTTTCCACATGTTGTTCACCTTTTTGTATTTCAGGACTTGTAAGCAAAATTTTTCCTGTTGAGACACTGGTCGAAGAAGCCATCCAGTGTGCAGAAAAAATTGCCAGCAATTCTAAAATTGTAGCGAAAATGGCTAAAGAGTCCGTGAATGCAGGTGGGGCTCTGCCAAGAGGGGAGCGTGGAGGGGCCGCCAGACCGACGAAAACTCACGGCTGCTGGTGGTGCTTCCACCAGCATAGAATAGTTCTGCGTTCCCGCAGCTAGCATCTCAGTTCATAACTTCAGGGTTTTCTTTTTAGCTTTTGAAATGACATTAACTGAGGGAAATAAGCTGGAGAAGAAACTCTTCTATTCAACTTTTGCTACCGTGAGTAAACAGTATTCAGATAGGAATTTCACATGTTCTGGCTGGGCACGTCCTTGTAGGGTTTATCATCACACCCCATTGCTCTTGGTCAGAGCTGTCCGCTTCCCCTGTGTTTGGTTAGATGTGTTCTCTCGGTGAGCATTGGTTTTGCCAGTAAGTACAGCGTATGGGAGTTCAAAAGGACAGCAGTGGGGTGGTTTCCTGTTAGGTAGGAAAGGTCTTACGATCGCACCATCAGTGCAGTCCGTTTACCCAGACTTTTCCTATATCATTCCAGTTACTTGGGATGGAGTTCAAATGCACTGACACTGATCGGAAGCTTTGGAGCAATACTTTCTAGGATTTCTGCCAGTAATTTAAACTATTCTTCTAATAGTCATTGAAATTCATCTCTTTTATGATCAGAAAGTCATACCTAGGGGTTTTATAACAAAGAAAAAAATGGTTTGGCTTGTGAAGATGTGCGTGCGTGCGTGTGTGTGTGTGTGTGTGTGTGTGTGTGTGTGTGTGCGCGCTCACAGGAGAGGATGCAGAGGTAGAGTCTGGGTTCCTGTCTGGTGACACTCGGTCCTACTGAATTCAGGTAGGCTGACCCACCTCCGTGTGTCTGAGGTTCTCTGTAGCTGAGAATTTATTCTTCACACACGGTCATGGTTCCTGAGTACCGTCACCTGGGGGAACAAAAATACCCACTCCAGGCCAGCCCTGCTCGTTTGGCAAATCTGGACCAGTCCCAGGTCCCCAGGTGTCCCCAGAGCAGAACCCCCTGTGGTCCGTCCCCCCTCCCCGGGAGTGTGGACAGCCAGGGACAGGGAGGGGCCCAGAGACACAGTGACCCAGCAGGAGGAGACGCACATGTCTCTTTGCTTTTCCTTTCCTACCAGGAAGACCAGAAAGAAGGGATGACCGCATTTGTGGAGAAGAGAAAGGCCAACTTCAGAGACAAGTGAGAGCTGCTGCCTCTGCCCTAAGCCTCCACACGGAAGAGGGAAAATGTGGCCGGCCAGCTTTAGGAGCAAATAAACCCTTTTCTTTTAAAGACCCTGGAAGTGACATGTGGTTTCTGGAGGCGGGAGCGAGCGGCCTGCACAGCTGCTTACAGAAGTTAGTGCGTTTCAGTTTCCACCTGATTTCAGGAACTGAGAGATGTTTCCATGCCAAACTGTCACTTTGTCCAGCACGCAGGGTTCAGATGGAGGCATGACCCCACGTGCCTGCTGTGTGGCCAGAGCCGGTGACTGCTTTGCTGGTGGGTGCCCTGAGGAGACGTGCCATTGTCTAAATGACAGACTTGGAATCACATTGTGCCTTTCTTAATCGTCTAGAGTTCAGTGTTCTATCGACCTTTTTAAACTTTGTTTTGCCATTATAAGTGACAACATTCAAACAACAGAAGTCCTTAAAGTAAGTCACCCTGTCAGTCCCAGGCATGTAGCTTTGTGGGGATTTCTCTGTCCCCACACGCGCACTGGGATGCAGCAAATCAGTGTTCTACACCCTTCTGTGAAGTACACTGTTTTCTTTCTACGTCTGTCACACCAGGGCACCCTTTTCTTATTTGAGTAGCACTCTTCTTTTTTTTTTAAATCATAATTTTTGCCTGTTTTTTTTTTGTTTCTTTTGTTTTTAAGATTTTTTATTGGAGGAGGGGAACAGACAAGTTGCTGTCCTTTTGTTCTTCAGTCTAGTTGTGGAGGACNCCCCTCCCCGCCGCCCGCGAGGGTCTCGCGATGCCTGCGCGTCTCGCGGTGCCGGCCTGTGGGCGGGGCGGGCCCTGAGTGGCGCCGCCGCGGGCGGCTCCGCGCGGGGAGGGCGGGCTGCGGGCGGAGCGCGTCGTCCTCTGAGCGCCATGGCCGCGCTGCGTGTCCTGCTGCCCCGCGCCCGCGTCCTGCTGCGCCCCCAGCCCGGCCGCGCGTCGCTGCGTCCCTTCGCCTCGGGTGCGTGCGGGGCTTGGGGGCGCGGGGAGGGGGCGCCGACCGAGCGGCAGCGGTCCCAGCGCCTGCCGTGAGCTCGCTGAGCCCTGGGGTCCCTGGCGCCCCTGCAGCTCTGGGGACTACGGTCTGAGTGCTGAGATCTCCGGCCATGTGAGCGTTCGGTGCTGGCTGTGAAATCCCGCTGGGCTTACATGACCTTAAGGGGATGCGCAGTTAGGGCCTCTGAGTTGGGAACGGTCGCTCGTTCCGTCCCGCGGTGCCTCCTGTCCAGGCCGACCCGTGTCCGCGGCTTCTGCCCGGGCCGGCCCGGCGCGCCACCTGCAGCATCGCCGCTGGGGTCCCTGACGGGAGGCCGCGCTCACACGTGTGTCTAGTTAACTACCTGTTGGTTTTACCTAAGTTCTTCTTGACCTTCCTTTTTCCTCTTCTGCATCCTGGCCTGTATTCAGCAGTCTTTTCCTGGTCCAGTGTGACAGGCACGCTGCTGCTAAGCACTTTACATGTGTTACTTAAGTTACTCCAGCAAGCCCTCGGGATAGGTACTGTGACCCGCTCAAGACAGCAGCCACTCCCACAGGCAGACTCACACCTTAGTCTTCTCAGGCTAACCTGCTTCCTTTCCAGATCATTACAGACCCCCACGTGTGAGCCAGCTGCCCCTCTGGGCCTGGAAGCCCTCCTTCGCCTGTGTGTGCCCCCACCAGCCTAACCTGTCCAGCCGGTAAGGCCAGAACTGGTTCTGTTCACAGCTTAATTCCACTCACCTACTTGCCATTTGTTGAAAGAACGAATTTCCCCACCCCTGGTTTCTGCAGAATCACAGTCCGTTCTGTCCACATCCTGGGAAGTGCTGACCAAGGCGTTCTGGGAAGGAAGACTGCTGTGGGCTGCTAGTCATTGCTGGGATTTTTTTTTTTTCCACTTTAGCAAATGTTCAAACATCTGTGAAAGCAGACAGTGGTGCAGAGGCCACCTAAGCAGCTGAGAGTCGTGTGCTGCAGCCCACGAGGGCTGGGCAGGGGACTGTTGGGGTCCCTCCGTGTACAACGGGGACACATCCTGCCAGTCTGATACCCACATGAGTGAAAATGCCCCTTTGTCTTCTTCACCCAGGTGCTGGCTTTGAGTACATCATCGCAGAGAAGAAAGGGAAGAGCCAAAACGTGGGGCTGATCCGACTGAACCGGCCCAAGGCACTCAATGCACTCTGCAACGACCTGATGACAGAGCTCAACCAGGCGCTGGAGACCTTTGACATGGACCCAGCCGTGGGGGCCATCGTCCTCACGGGCGGGGAGAAGGCGTTCGCAGGTGGGTAGTACGGTGGCAGGTCACCCAGGTGTGTGAAGGGCGGTCTGACTGGTCACGCCCGTGACGTGTGGCGTTGCAGACATACTACACCTCCAAGGTAGCATCAGAAGAGCCGGTACAGCTCGGGGTTCCTTACGTGTAAGGTGCAGATGTGCTGGGGAACTGCTTGGATGAGGCTTTCTATGTGTGTGACACTTGGGTGTATCCTGCCAGCAGAATCTGTTTATTCAGAGTGATTCGAGTCCTCAGCCGTCATGTGTGGTGTGTGTTGAGGGCTCAAGTGACTAAGGAATGCGCCTGGCCTTCTGAGTCCACCTCGCATCTGTTTCCTGTCCCGTGGTTCCTCTGCATTACCTCCGTGAACAAGTACCCCAGGGTACGGCCACAGTCCCCGCTGCCCAGCTATGTGTCTACGTGGCCGTGATTGCACAGGCCAGGCCCCGCGCCGGCACCCCCAGCAGCCGCAGTGCCTGCACGTGAGGGATGCTCAGTAGCTGCCGTGCGTGCTGGTAACTGGAACCTCTTTTCCGCCAGCTGGAGCCGACATCAAGGAGATGCAGAACTGGACATTCCAGAACTGCTACACCAAGAATGCCCTGAGCCACTGGGACCTG